GCAGAGAAAGAAACCCATAAATGGTTTATTGTACTGAGAAACCTCAGGGAAGAAACCCTCCACCCCAATACCTACATTCTGTCATTATAGGTCTAGAGCAGTGATGATCTGCAGAACTTGCGATGACAACAAAAATGTCCTATATTTGGGCTGTCCAATTTGGTAGCTCCTAGCCACAGTGTCCATTGAGCACTTGAAATTTCACTAGTATAACTGAAGAACTAAATTTTTTATTTTAAGTAACTTAGATCTAAATTTAATTAAAAACATTTAAAAAAATGTTTAAATGTTTTGTTTCTGAGAGAGCGAGAGGCAGCATGAGCGGGGGAGGGTCAGAGAGAGAGGGAGACACAGAATCTGAAACAGGCTCCAGGCTCTGAGCTAGCTATCAGCACAGAGCCCGACGCAGGGCTCGAACCCACGAACTGTTAGATCATGACCTGAGCTGAAGTCGGTCACTTAACTGACTGAGCCACCCAGGAGCCCTATTAAAAACGTTTTTTAATGTTTATTCGTTTTTGAGAGAGAGAAACAGAGCATGAAGGGGGGAAGGGCAGAAAGATAGAGGGAGACACAGAATCTGAAGTAGGCTCCAGGCTCTGAGCTGTCAGCACGGAACCTGACACAGGGCTCAAACCCATGAACCTTAAGATCATGACCTGAGCTGGTCAGATGCTTAACTGACTTAGCCACCCAAGCGCCCCAAATTAGATCTAAATTTAAATGCCACATATGGTTAGTGGCTATCATAATGGGTAGGGTAGTTCTTGAGGCCTCCTTGAGAATATACATCCTGTTGGGAGGCTCAGACCTTAAGCATTTCTCTGCCAAAACTTTAGTGCAGGGAGTGCAAGCTAGGGATAAGGGTGTCAGGCTGGTGCATTTCATTTGGCCAGTATGAGGCTTTGGAATCTTTAATTCAAATGTCTTCAGCCAGGCAGGCATCTCCAGCCTCCATTTCCCTTAGTTTCACTCCAGGGCCAAGTCACACACATTGCCACCTCTGAAGGAGTTTGGCTGCAACCCCAGCCTTGGTAAAAGCCTTCAGTGATTTCCAACGTTATTTCGTTTGCTGCTAAGGGCAGCCCCAGGAAAGAGGTAGGGTTGAGACTGTTATGCCCATTTTATGGGTAAGAGAATGAAGCCAGCTCCACCTTTGTTGTCTCATTTGAATAGACACTGGAAACTTACATCTGGGGGGTGATGTGGCCCTTGCTGAGGAGCCATGCCCTGCCCTAGCTGCTGGCACTCACAGCCTTCAGAATGCTTCTTCCCCTGCACTCCATTCTTGTTTGCATTCAAACATCATCTTGATTCATTTTTAGTGCAATCCAGCTGCCATTCTAAGCCTTACTTAATACACTGCTTCCACTCATTTCCACTGCCTGCCTGCCTGGACTTAATTCCTTCAGAGTCAAGCACAGCTGGGGTCTATCAGCAGACACATCTGGGTGAACAGGGAGGGAAAGAATTCCACCTTCCAACTACCACCAGCCCAAGCCTGCTCCCCAGGGCTTCTATGTGGAACCTGATCTTAGTCCCATCCCAGTTTTCCAGCGGCATCACCCTGCTTATCTACTGGATTCTGGAATTTAACACCTGCTTGACCCATGCCCTGTTTCTGAATGACTGCCTCTGCCTCTCTCAGCCACCCATCAGGGCTCCCACTCAAGTTTCCTGCCTCCCTGAGCAACCCCACACTGAACTCTGTCTGTCCCCAGTCTCTCCTACTGCTTACTTTCCCTTTCTCTGGTGACTACATGTTTATAGTACTGTACGATAGTGGCTGAGGGAAGAGACCTGCCTGCAGTCAGGAGGTACAGGTTGTATGGCAAGTATTTTGACCTTTTGGAATCTCCCATTTCTAAAACTGGGATTTTTCAGGGGTTGGACCAGATTAGTGGTCCAGACTAGTTAGAATAGATTAGATTTTTTGAACTGTTTTACTTGGAGGGTTCCTAAAAGACTGCTTTGCTACATGGAAGCAGGGGACGGAGGGGAGCCAAGTGGATAGGAACTTCAGGATTTCTTCTATCCTCTCCAACCAGAGAACCCACTTTGATGTGATTAATGGACCCGGGTTCTGAAATGCTGCACAGAGAGAGAAAGAGAGATTGAAAACTCCACATTATCCATAAATAGATGATTCAAAAAACCTCTTACAGCTCTAACAAGGTGGAGGCAAAGTCTTTTCTCCCCAGGGAGTTATAGGACCTTGGGGGCAGTTTGTGTGTAGACAACTCAATAGGAGCCCAGTCAGTGCCTGTGCAGTGGACGCTGTCTTGTTCTCTTCTGTGGTGTTCCATGTGTATCTCCTCTCAACAGCCAGAATGAAAGGCCTTACTCTTATACTTCTTGAGAATTCTCCAGAGAGCTCCTAGCACAGGGACTGCAGTCTGGCCTCAAACCATTTTCCTAAATGAATGATCAGGGCACTGGGGTGGGTGGTGGGAGGGGTGGTGTGGGGACCAAAACTCTTGGTGTGAGTCCCACCTCCTTTACCGCCTCCATGGTCTCTGACAGGGGACTTCAGTCCCTCTGAGTCTCAGATTTCTCAGCAAGGTAATACTGCTTATGATCTGTTTATTAGTTTTCAGTCAGACCTTATATCTAGACCCCTCCCTCTTGCGCTGAGGTATTGTACTCTTCCCAGTGTGGGAGATCAGGAGGGATATATTAATTGTTTCTACAGAGTCTACTTTCTCAAGGTAGAAACCACAACTGAAAGGTTCAGAGTTGAGTTGTGAGAAGCAATAGCTTGCTAATAAAACCCACAAAGTAAGATGAGTCTTATAAAAACTACCACTGGGTGACAGAGGCCAGAAGAGCTGTTTTAGGAGGGAAGGGAAAAGAAAGAGGTGGTTCACAGAGGGAAGCCATGGGCCCTCTGGGCTGTGACCAGCCCACAGCACAAGGAACAAAGCCATGGGACCTGCTTGGCCTCAGAGTCGTCTTCCGATCTCCCAGAACCTATTTCTACGGATTGTGACTGGTGTAGATCCAGCATGTCCTGGCGGACAAAATAATGAAGTCAGCAAGGTTTGTCCTCAGTATTACTCCTTGAGTTTCTCTGTTCCCTCCCATTTTCCCATCTCCAGATGCCCAGAGCCTCTGGAACAAGAAAGAAGGAAAACCCAGGGACAAGAAAGAAAGAGTGTGTTGGAGTAGTACACCCCTCTGGCAATGGTGGGGACCAAATGTGAGACCTCTCTTAGAGGGGGCTATGTCTCCAGGGAATCTTGGAGAGGGGAACTCCCAAGCCAGAGGCCATGTATGACCCACAGATGTCTGTGGTTTTGGTGAACATCATGGTAACCTCAAGAGTTTTATAAAAAACCAACAACAACAAAAACAAAACCAAACCAAAAACAAAAAAAATGAAGATTTTACATAAAAATTTAGATTTCTGGCTTCTTTTAGAAAATGGGAAGAACTGAAAGTACTGGCCACACATTCCCACTGAATGAGAACTGGTTGAGCTAAGCAGCTGTTGCCCTCTTTAAAGGAAACCTTTGCTCGCTGCTTTGCTGCAGGCCCTACCAGTCCCTATTGCCCCCTGTTGTTATGTCTGGCCTCCTCCTTCCATTTATGCCACTGCCTGGCTCCTGTGATCTTTGACTTCATCCAAAGAAGTTACACAGTAATAGGGGCACAGAGAACCGTGAAGGCAATATTTCTGGGCAGAGGAACAGCTCCTTGTTTTTAACACTGTTCCATTTGGGAGCCACCCATCCTGGAAGAAGTGAATCCTGCTACACAGCCTTGTGTGGAGCATTAGACTGCCAAAGGATTTGGAAAAAAGTTCGTAAAGGTCTGCCAGCTCCCTGCCCCCACAGCCTGTGCTCTCCAGCATCAACAGCTGCCCATTTCATCCTCATCACCAGTGAGTTCAGGCCCTGATGGCTCATTCTCTGTGACCTAGGATAGAGTCAACTTTGTGTCTGAGCCCAGCCTGACCTTACAGCCTGTCCCATTATTAGAAGCCCTTTGGTCTGTGCCAGCTGATCACCAAGTCTGGGGCTGCCCCTTACCTGGGTGCCTGCACGCTTCCAGCCCTGCAGTGCTCTGGGGACTGAGTTCTGCCCTGCCTTCCCAGGCAAGGTCTTTGTGGCGGAATCCTATCCCTATAACACCCGCTGTTGCTGCCAGAGTCCTTGAGCCACAGGGCTTCCGTCCTTCTTCCACCTCTGCTCTTCTCAGAGGCCGACCTGCCCTAACCTCTTAGGACAAGCCTCATCTTGTTGCCTGCCCAGCCCTGTGCATGATGCTACCAACACAGGCAAACTTTGTCCAGGGAGTGGGCTTCATGTGGGATTTTGGCTCCCACTGGCCCCCTCAGCCAGGCAGCTTTTTGCACAACTGCACAATGATTCTGATTAGGTCCTCTGGCTCCAGCCATTGATGTTTGGCCTCATCCTCCCACTGATCCGGCTTCCTTTCTGATACTTATCCTCCTGTTCCTCAGCATTTCCTCTCCTTCCTTGTCTGACACCTAAGCCTTGGGGAAACAACTGATCAATATAATAATAATTTACATATTGAGATTTTGCTTGAGGCCATGTGCTAAGCAGTGCACATGTGTTATTATACTGGATTCTTACAACCACCATGCTATCCCCATTTGCTGGCTGAGAAAACTGAGGCACAGAGAGATTGAGGAATTTCCCCAAGGGCCAGCAAAAATAGGTGACAAAACCAGGATTCAAGCCTGCGTCTGTCTGTTGTCACAGCTCAAGCTTTTAACCACTCAACTTTGTTCAAATCAAAGAAAGCTAGAAGAGAGGCTCAGAGAAGCCAATACTTTGCCTAAGATCACAGAGTTTAGTGGTAGAACTCAAATTCAAACTCAGGTAGGTATTCTGTCACCAAGTCCAGAGTTCCTTCACCTGTCACTGGAACTCTTAGGCTGTCTCTTTCACTGTTCTGTTTGGGTCTCAGCTCCCGGCATATGATGGGGCACAGGAGGCACTCAGAAAACACTTGCAAACTGAAGGACTTACCTCATCTCATTTCATATGCCTTGCTGGAGCTGTTCTCTCAGAGACTCCTAATTGCTTTGATATCAGCCAGGATGGCCTTGCCCACAGACAAGTTTGATCTTAGCTCAAACTCCATCCTCAAAAATCTTGGAGGGCCTGGAATTCCACCATGGAATACAATTTTCCTAGAAGGGGGACAGAAGATTATAAGGGATTGAATTTAAAGTCCTAATATTTCAGGATCAATGAGTTTCTCAGAAAGTTTTCTAAGAGAACCTGGGGAGTATGAGAAACTAATGTTCTGATTTAGGGTAGGTTGGGAGAGGATATAGTGCCAAATCTAGCACAACAGGGTATGAAGACGAATTCTACTTAAAGTGGTTTTTCAGAGATCAGAGCCTTTTGATCCTGCTTCCTTGAACTCCCTATCTCTGGGTTTGACCTTGTCTTTGGGCCCTACAGGCCTCTGGTCCAGGTTCTTCTTCCCAGCTGAGGAGGTTAGCTCGGATACCCCTGGGGAGAACTTGGGGACAGGCAGGGCCCTAGGATACAGTCAGCAGAAATGCCAGCTTCACAAAGCAGAGCTTCACACCTGTCCCCTTCCGGCAGTCCTATGCCTGGCCACTGCCCCTGGAAATAGTCCTGCCAAGCAGCTTGGCGTGTTAGCAGCTCTAATGGACAGTAAACTTTGTGCAAGCCTGTAAGAGCTTTGGATTCCTAAGCTGCCTGGTGAAAATAGGTTTCTTAGAGGCCCGTGCCAGACTTAGTTCCTGCAGCGTGGTTGGGATTAAGGACTTCCAGAACCTTCACTCAATTCAATTTAAATGAGCAAAGATTTACTTAGCTGCCAGCACAGTTTCTGGAGACCAGTGCACAGGACTCCACTAACCCTTCTCCTATTCCAGTCCTTTTTTACATTCTGCTAGCAGCTCAATTTTTTAAAAACTTTTCTTTTTTTTAATTTTTACAGTTTTTATTTATTTATTTTGAGAAAGAGAGAGAGAGCAAGAGCAAGCATGCAGGGGAGGGGCAGGAGTGGGGGAAAGAGAATCCCAAGCAGGCTCTTTGCTGTCAGCTCCATTGCATGAACCCAGAGGTCATGACCTGAGCCAAAACCAAGAGGAAGATGCTTAACCGATGGAGCCATCCAGGTGCCTTAGTAGCTGAATTTTCTTAAAGCCAGAATTCCATGTTTCAAGGCTTTGGAGTAAGAGAGACATGAGTTCAAATTCCTCTGCCACTCACTAACTGCGTGACACCCACCATCGCTGAGCTTTAGTTTCTCCATCTGTAAAACATCAAGCTCATAGGATTGTACATGAGAATTCAATGAGATTGTGCATGAGCATAGACTAGGGCCCATCACCCAGAAGGCCATGATCAGTCAATAGTAGCGATCAAACCAATAAGCAAATAAAACTATAAAGCCTCCCTGCTCTTATCAAACATCCCTTTGCCCAGACACCTCCCATAATTCTCTACCACCCACAGGACAAAGTCCTGCCATCTTTACCTGGCTCTCAAGGCCTTCCACATAGAGCCACATTTCAAGTGCTTACTAACTGCATGTGGCTTATGGCTGCCATACTGAACAGTACAGAATAGAACATCTGACGGTTGCAGAACATCTACTGGGAAGCCCTGTTGTAGCTGATACTATCGCTGTGTGGGGGGAGTGGGGGAGCAAGGAGTGTGGGGAGGGGCAGGGTGACTGTTCATCCTGGATGTTTCCATCCTGGTATCTGTTTATTTTATAGGGAACCTGAGCCTGTGGCCTCTCAGGTGTCGGTTCTGATTCCTGATGAAAGGATCTTAGGTGAGGGCCATGGTGTCGTGTTGTCTTGGCCTCTGGCCAGGTTTTCCAGTTGCTTCTAGGTCTCAGCCTCAGCTGTGCTGGGCTGAGAGCATCCACCTCATGGGCTGGGGAGCCATTCAGTCTCTCCTGGGCTCTCTGTTTTCTACCTGCCCAGCTTGTACCTTCCTGCCTTCCTCCTGGCTGGGGGACTTTCCACTCCCAGCCTCTTGCATTCTGCTAGTACTTCACTTCTCTGACCCTTTAGGGCTCTTTGGCTTCCCTAGGCCCTTTTTCCCACCACCACAGGGTGTGCTCTGAGGAGCTGGGCAATCCCCAGGGGATCACCTCTTTAGGCCCCTCTGGTGTACCCTATTTTGCTTGAATTGTTTCAGGAGGAGTTTGGTCTCTCTGGCTACAATGCCAGTCCCAAAGGGCTGAGCTGTTATCTCCTATTGATTTCCCACAGCACCAAGGAAGAATGAATGAATGAATGAACAAATGAATGAATGGGTTTGACAGGCAGTAAACCCCTTCTGTTTCTACTCACCACTCTCTGCCCTCAAGAGGGACTCTGAGTAAGAACTGTGAGGGATGGTCTTCCGGAAACTCCAGGTAGGAGTCAGCCATAGTGACACTGTCTGTCTGTCTGGGAGAGTGTTGGAGACTGTAAATGATTTCTTCCTAGGAAGGGTAGTGGGTACTCGGGAGTTTTGGGGGTGGGAAGGCGGATTTTGAGACAGAACTGGAAGAGAAAGGGACAGAAGTGGGGGGCACAGTAGAAATGAGAGAAGTGGGGGTGGGGAAACAGAGGGAAGAGGGTGGGAGAGAGGGAAAGCAAGGCACAAAGAGGGAGAGATCCTTGCCTTGCACATCTCCTGGCCCCTGATGTGGCTGTGCTGATATCTCCAGCACTAATTGCTTCATTTAATAATACTGCTCTATAAAATTTCAGCAGCTGAGAGCAAGTGTAAGGGAAGATGACATAATGCATTAATAATGCAGGCAGCCAATGGAGCTGGGCTCCTGGGGAGCTCCATTAAGGAGCCACTGCTGCTGTCCTCTTCCTCGTACCAGCTACCACTCCGGGCAGGGCAGCGGGTGTCCTTGGGCCTCTGCAGACTGCAGGGTTTCGGAGCTGCGGCCCAGAGGCAGCACCAACAAACAGGAGGCTGGGGCGGCCTTAGCCTACCCATAAACTCCGGAAAGTACTCCCCCCACATTCTTTGATCTGGACAATTGATGTTTTCTCAATTTTATGTAAGTGCTACATACGGTTTCAGGATTGCTGCCTTAAATCCCACCCCCACCCCCCACTGCTCCTTCCCGACCACTCAGATTAGCAGCCCTTCCACCACCTCCACCACTGGCTGAAGTTCCTGGGGCAGCTCTCCTGATGGTTTTGTTTTAAATCTCAGTCTCATCTTTCTCTTTGCATCTGCATCTCAGTCTTTTTGTCGCTGTCCCTTAGGGACAGGGAGGCAATCCTCTCTTTCAGGACAAAGAACCTGTCATCCTAAACATGTTCAGCTGGTTTCTCTCAAGTCAGCATCAGCATCACCCCAAGCCCTCTGTAAGTGTCTGCACATGCACAACAGTCTGTCCCCAAAACTGCCAGCAGGCATCCCGATCCTAAAACTGCAGGTCACTACGTGGTTCCATACTGGTGCAAAACCTGCTCTTTTCCCACTGCCTGCAAAAACCAGTCCTGGACCACCCCCAACAAAACCCTCTAATTTGGGGCTTCTCATCCTGGGGTTTATCTAAGAAGATGCTTTAGAGTGCTGCAGAACCCCTGGAAATTATGCAATAATCTCTGTACATATATGCATTTCTCTGATAAAAATGTCTACAACATTTTCCTGTTCTCACATGGGTCCTGAATCCCCTGAACCTCAATAATCCTAAAATCCAGCTCTATCCTTGGGGAGTTAGGCCCTTAGGTAGCAGAGGTATTTAGATGGATCTTTCATTCCATCTCTGCATCTATGGCTCTAAATGAGGCCCTCTGTATCTCACCTGGATTGCTGTAGTCTAAGTTTATGTCAAAGGGGACCATGGGCTAGCAATAAAGAAGGCAAGAAGAAGCCCAACATTCATCTTAGACTCAAGTGAGAACGAAAACTCATGCTTCAAGTCTTAGTATCCAAGTGCAGCCTGGTGCCGCTCTTTCACAGTAGGACTGAAGTTTGTGTTGGCAATTCAGTGTTCTCCAGGGGTGCCTGGGTGGCTCAGTCGGTTAAGCGGCTGACTTCGGCTTAGGTCATGATCTCACAGTTCGTGGGTTCGAGCCCCGTGTCAGGCTCTGTGCTGACAGCTCAGAGCCTGGAGCCTGCTTCAGATTCTGTGTCTCCCTCTCTCTCTGACCCTCCCCTGCTCACACTGTCTTTCTCTCTCTCTCAGAAATAAATAAAACATTAAAAAAAAAAATGTTCTAAGTGTTCTTCAGAAAAGGCTTCCTTTCCCTGGAAGAAAGGTAGGAGACAAACATGTGTTGGGCACTTTCTATATGCAAGGTTCTGTCCCAAACAGTCTGGCGTGATCCTGATCACATCCCAGGAAGGCAGATCCTCCAGTCCCACTTCACTGAGGAGGAAACTGAGATTCCAAGAAGTTAAAAAACTTGAGCAGTAGAGTCAAGATGTAAACTGAGGCATTTTTATCATTCAAGTCTAGCACCTTCCATTATACAGAATTGCCTGGCCTTAAACAGTAGCTCTTGGAGGGACATTTCTGAGAGCAAGTCTGGCTAATTCCCACCTCCATGTTCCCATTTCTCACTGCCTGGTCTCCACATGTGTAAGTCCCACCCTCTTAAATCCTACTTCCACCATCAAGCTTTTTCTAGATAGTTTTTCAGTGACCACTTTGTATGGGATGACTGATGTGAGTTGATGTTAACTATACAAAGGGGTGGGCTGCAGGGGACACTATTGATTTTTAGCCAAAATCCATTTTCCCATTTATTCTTGTCTAACAGATCCTGATTTCTATAGGATATTTATTCCTTTTTCACTCAGTGGAGAGAGACCCATCTCTGCCCCAGGATGGAACTGCAGTTGGTCCAAGCCAGTCACAGAAATGCTACTCCCTCACCAGTGGTCAGCCTAGGAAGGGGCATGTGACCTAGTTCTGGCTTGTGAGATGATGGGAGAGATCGCTGGGAAGCTTTTGGGAAAGAGACATGGGAAGAGACAGCCTCTCCCTCCTCAGTGGGATATTTCCATGCCTGGAACTGCTGTGGGCATCCTGACACCCACTAGTCAACGGTGCAGAGCAGTAAGAGAAGGACTTCTTGAGCTACTGTACCAGGCACCATGAGCCTGCCTGCCTCTGAGACTCTGCTATGAGAGATAATAAATTCCCTTGCAGTTAATGCCAATTTGAGTTGAC